TTCCCACTTCGCATCTCTGCAGAACCCGCCCACCGTGTCCTTCAGCACCTCCTCCCCTCCCTGAGGCCCCATCCTCCACCTGACCCTCAGCCTCTTCCCGAGGGGGTCCCGTGAGTCTGTCTTCAGCCCTCTTTCCTTCTTGAGCTGGGTCTCCCTCTCCACTGAATCCATCCACTCCCAGGACTTCAGCCGAACCTTCATCAGTGTTTCCAAAGTGAGATCTATGGGAGGGTCAATGGGATCGTAAGAGAAAGGTGTTCCAACAGAGGTTGGACCCGTGGGAGAAACGCTGGACCAAACAGGCCTCCTTTCTGCAGGACTCTCAAGAGGCTTTACGCTGCGGGTGCCCTGGGGGCCCCAGGAGGGGGCACACACAGGCTTTCCAAACTCATTTGATGACAAAATCATGCCTCTGACTCCACTCTGGGCAAGGCTGTCGAACATGCTAATGGCTTCCAAAGCTGCACCTCCAGCCGCAGCCTCTCTCCTGACCGTCCTGCCGCATCCTGGACACAGGTAAGCACCGGCATCTCCCTGTCACCCTTCGCCCCAAACCCTGTCCCATCTCCTGGGGCTCTGCCTCAGTTAAACTGAAGCGTCATCGTTTTCCCAGTTAAAGCTGATCAATGAATGCCAATGATTCATGACACTCTTAAACGCCCTCTCCTCTCCCGCTGCCATTTCTCTACAGCATTCATCTCAGCCTCCTCCAGTGCTACAGCTTCCTAAGTGGGTATTCTGGGCGGGGGGGCGGGGGGGGGTAGCCCCAGTAATTTCCCCTAGATTTTAAATTCCACACAGTGGCCAGATTGATCATTATTGCTGCCCACCCCACCACCCTTTTATCCCCAAAGGATGCCCTTGAACTCACGAGGAGTTCCCTTCCCACTTCGCATCTCTGCAGAACCCGCCCACCGTGTCCTTCAGCACCTCCTCCCCTCCCTGAGGCCCCATCCTCCACCTGACCCTCAGCCTCTTCCCGAGGGGGTCCCGTGAGTCTGTCTTCAGCCCTCTTTCCTTCTTGAGCTGGGTCTCCCTCTCCACTGAATCCATCCACTCCCAGGACTTCAGCCGAACCTTCATCAGTGTTTCCAAAGTGAGATCTATGGGAGGGTCAATGGGATCGTAAGAGAAAGGTGTTCCAACAGAGGTTGGACCCGTGGGAGAAACGCTGGACCAAACAGGCCTCCTTTCTGCAGGACTCTCAAGAGGCTTTACGCTGCGGGTGCCCTGGGGGCCCCAGGAGGGGGCACACACAGGCTTTCCAAACTCATTTGATGACAAAATCATGCCTCTGACTCCACTCTGGGCAAGGCTGTCGAACATGCTAATGGCTTCCAAAGCTGCACCTCCAGCCGCAGCCTCTCTCCTGACCGTCCTGCCGCATCCTGGACACAGGTAAGCACCGGCATCTCCCTGTCACCCTTCGCCCCAAACCCTGTCCCATCTCCTGGGGCTCTGCCTCAGTTAAACTGAAGCGTCATCGTTTTCCCAGTTAAAGCTGATCAATGAATGCCAATGATTCATGACACTCTTAAACGCCCTCTCCTCTCCCGCTGCCATTTCTCTACAGCATTCATCTCAGCCTCCTCCAGTGCTACAGCTTCCTAAGTGGGTATTCTGGGCGGGGGGGCGGGGGGGGGTAGCCCCAGTAATTTCCCCTAGATTTTAAATTCCACACAGTGGCCAGATTGATCATTATGAAGCTGCCATCAGATAACCACCACCCCACAACTCAGAACCCACCATCTCGCCTTATCCTATAGGCAAGACAGGGCTACATAAGGGTGGCCCTCAGGGCTCTCATCTTCTGCACTGTGCCTCCCAACAAGCCAACCAACCACACCGCCAGCTGTCCTCCGAGCTCACCCCACCCTTTCACGCCCTTGCTTCCATCGGCAGTGTCCTTTCCTCCTTCCCTCCTTCTCTGCCTCACCATGTCCCACCTGTCCTTCAAGGTCCAGCTCATACAGGTCATCACAACTCCAAGGTCCCCCCACCCTACTTGGCACTGTCCTCCTGGGCACATACAGTTCTTCCCTCCTGTGTGCTGCTCCCTTGGCACCAGGCACAGTGCATCACCGGTGGACAGACACCTCCAGCCACTCCACCAGACTGTGAACGCCTAAACGTCCTCCCCGGCTCTGGACCACCAGCATCAGTACCTACTAGGAACTCAGTGAATGATGACTGAATGAGTTAATACATAGGAGACACTGGCCACCCTGGATGATGTCCCCACTGGAATCCACGGTTTGCTCCTTGGAACCCTGAGGGTACTTCATCTGCACCTACCTCTTGCTTTAATTAATTAATAATTAATTAATTAATTTCTTTATTATAGTTGCAGCACGTGGGATCTTTCGTTGCGGCACATGGGCTCTTCTTCGTTGCAGCTTCTCTCTAGTTGTAGCACATGAGCTCAGTAGTTGCGGCGCGAGGGATTAGGTGCCGCGCAGCATGTGGGATCTTAGTTCCCTGACCAGGGATCGAACCCACATCGCCTGCACTGGAAGGCGGACTTAACCACTGGACCACCATGGAAGTCCCCCCTCTTGTTTTATATAAAAAGTATTTATCGTCCTGCCTTATTTATCCCAGCAAGGCCAAAAGCACCTTCGTGTCAGGGTCTGTAACACCTCTTTGAATTCCCCCACTTGGACTGGCATACAGTGACCAAGCAGGAAGTGCCCAGAGAATGAATGAGTGAGGAAGAGACAGGCAAGCAGGCAGGGCTCCCAGCCAGGGACAACATGGGACACCAGGGCCCTCATACCTGACATTTGTTCCCAACTGTAAGTCAACAGGTGTCTCCTTGAGCCTAGTTCTTCTGAGTGAAAAAGGGGAGAGCTAGTCTAAGTGACCAAGCAAGGCAGGGTCCTGCTGCACATGGGGGCACAAGTTCTGGATCCCCATGGCCTGAGTTCAAAGCCAGTTTCTCCATTTTCTAGCTGTGTGAAGGGGACAAGTTCATTAACCAGTCCGTTCCTTGGTTTCCTATTCCATAAAATGAAAAATCACAGCACCACCACCTTAGATAGTTGTTACAAAGATTCCGTTAACATGCATGAGCCACTCTGCACAACACTCAGTAAATGCCAAGTTCTCGAGAAACGTCTGCCATCTTCATCACCATCCTTTCATCCCCTTGCAGCTACGATGCCAGAGGCTGTGAGACGGTAGGGGCCCTACCAATAGTACTGAATGGGTGAAGGCGGGGGTTCGAGGGCCTGGCAAGCAGAGAGGAAGGCGGGCCTGTCAGCGCCCGTGTCTCGCCGTGAGTCCTACCGTGGCTTGTTGGCTGACTTGTCCCCCACATTCACATCTTCCCAGCCGACTGGCACCCCCTCTCTGCCCACCAGGCTTGGAGGCTGTCCCTTCCTTTGGAAGAAATGGCCTAAGAATTCCTGACCCTCAGACGAGAGGCAAGGGAGAACTGTGCCAGCAGGGCACTCTGCCTCGGGGCCAAGTTCAAGACATGCTGTCATCCTGGTCCACGCAATCTCGAGGGGAATTCACAGTGAGCACCCACCCAGGACAACCTGCGGTCTGAACCACCAAGTCAGGCAGTGGGGTTGCCAAGGCAAGCACCAGTTCTGATGTCTGTCGACTTCAGGGCGCCCATGGCCATGGTGGGGGAAGAGGGCTCAGCCTCCAAAGCTGAAAGCCCAGAGTCAAGTTCACAGTCATGGCCTTTAAGTTCTCAAGGGTTAACATAGCTTCCAGCCTTCAGAGTTTGTGTTTAACAACTCCATCAGTCCTTTCACATCGGGAATGTGACCTTCCCGCTGTAATGCCCAACACTCACAGTGGTATTATTTTACGAAGATGATAAAACAGATCCCCCAAAGTTACATTTCACACTGCCCACTTGTCAGCCTGTATCAAAAGGTTTTCAAGCAGCTCCCCACGTTCCAAATGATGACTTTCTTCATCTGATGCTATCAGTCAGCTATCAGTCAAGGACTGGGAACAACTGGGAACAAAAGCCAGGCCAATCCACTCTGATTCACCACGCTTGGAGATTAACTCCTCCTTTTCCTGAGCCACAAATCAAACCCCAGCAATACAGCTGGAAAAGAATCAAACTCACATTTTTCTAAAGCTACCAGACCAACACAGAAAAAAAAAATTCCCTCAATAAAAACTGAACAAATATTTAATCTGTTCTGAGCCCTCCGGCAGGCCCCACACTGAAACCAAAGGATGCTCCTGGATTAGAAAAGTGGATCTCAGAAAAATGACCCAGAAATCAAACCTCTAAGGGAAGGTTGTGGAAATGATGGCCCAGCTGCTCCAAAACCTCATGAGATAATGCAAGATGATCAACGAGTCATCTAAGTACGGAAATGCGTTTACAAAATAACAGTGAGAAGACAGAAGGAAAAGATGGATATGAACTATCATCTCAAAGGCAAAGCACAAATGTATGTGCCTGATCCACAAACATCAGAGGGACCGAGATGAAACAAAAATATTTGTGTTAGGGCAGGGGGGTTATGGGTAACTTGGCTTTTTTTTTCCCCCCCAAATTCCTTATATGGTACTGTTTTAAATAAAAATGACATCGTTGTCAGATGAGGTGCTCAGATAAAATCCAAGTAAGTGTATCTGAAACAAGTACCCGAAAGCCGGGGGCTGCGGTTTGCACCGCTGCCTGTGGCTTTGCATCAAACCACACACGGATGCTCACTGACCAGAGCCCCTCGTGTCTCTTAAGCACAAGGTTTGGGGGTTTTTCATTCACTCGTGTCTAACTGCCTCCCTGGGGAAATACAAACCTGGCACACGGCTGCCTTTCCTGCCACCGCTGTTCTCAGGTTTCCCGTTGTGTGGGTGACCCCAGAAACAATGTAACCAGAAACCTGATGGGCTGCACTGGGCGGATGGTGGGGGTCGGAGCAGGGAAGCCTCAACTTCAGGGCCCTCTCCACACACGGGCCACCAGGCAGGGCTACAGCTAGACGGGGATTGAGTCATCCAGACAAAGAGCTACTTACCCAAGTTATTGTGTGCTGGGGACATCGGATTCGGGGACAGGTTTGGAGAACCTAGGAGGTGAGACACAGCTGTGAGACTTTGGAAAAGACTGTTGTTGGCCTGGGGAGCCAGATGACAGAACATTTGCATCAAGGTGGGGCAGGAAGAAAACCTTGGACTGAGCCTCCACGGTCCAGGAGAAGACCAAACCCCACATCCTTGCCTGTGCTTCCCCTTCCCCGGGCCCCAGCTTCCTCATCTGTGGAACCAATGGATGAGAGGATGACCTTGGAGTCTCTTCCACAGCTTGATGGTCTGATGCTTCTAACCAAGCCCCCGGGCACAGGGCTGCTGCATTCCCAGCCTGGGTGCACAGATCTCACACTGACCCTCCCTGTTAACTGAGCCCCCAGAGGGACAGAAGGAGCAGGGAAGACCCTCTCCACAGCTGCTCCAGACCCCAGGCAGCGAAGGTAAGGCTTGCAGCTGCCCAGACCTCACCAGTCTTGTTCTCACAGCTCAGAACCTGCAAATACCAACGCAGCCTTTTCCCCAGGTTTCAGGAATCTCACTGAGCTGCCTCGGACACCCCACAACTCAGCAACCAGACTGACATGATGCTACACGTGGGAAAAAGTCCTAACTACCCAATTCTTTCTACTCTAATATCGTTACTCTACCTGTCCC